AGTCCCATTAGTTCATTTGTTTCCCTTTGCCTCTGAGACATGTTGAGTAAGAAGTTGCTGTGGCCAAAGTCAAAGAGATTTTTGCTTGTTTTCCCCTCAAGGATTTTGATGGTTTCCTGTCTTACATTTAGGTCTTTCATCCATTTTGAGTTTATTTTTGTGTATGGTGTAAGAAAGTGGTCCAGGTTCATTGTTCTGCATGTCGCCGTGTCCAGTTTTCCCAGCACATTTTATGAAGAGAGACTGTCTTTATTCCATTGGATATTCTTTCCTGCTTTGTCAAAGATTGGTTGGCCATACATTTGTGTGTCCATTTCTGGGTTCTCTATTCTGTTCCATAAAAATCTGGAACACTTCACGAATTTGCGTGTTATCCTCGCGCGGGGGCCATGCTAATCTTTCCTGTATCGTTCCAATTTTAGTATATATGCTGCCAAAGTGAGCACGAAAACTTCTTAATTCTTTATTATTCCTTTTATTAGCAAGTTTCCATGATAATAAGTTAATTTCTATAATCTTCTGAAGGTAGACCATTATTTTTAAATAATATTATGTACCCCACAGATATAAATAAGTTTGATGTGTTCAATCCATTCTAATTATTAAAATTCTTCAAATTCAAACGGTTTCATTTTGTTTAGTGGAAGACTTGCAGTGTCAGCCCTTGAATATCTTTTATATCTATTCTATTTGTCTTTGATAGTTACTTGCTAACTGACATGACAAGATTGACCGGCTCAGCATGTTCATTTCCTGTCTCAGACATCAGCAATATCTCCACTAAACCTAAGCTGCTTTTAGTAAGGGGTGACATTCCAAGACCACAATCTGGGTCTTAATGCTAATGCATTAGTAATTATGTATAGGTCTTTATAGTGGAAAGAGGTAGGAAATATTTACAGGTAGGAAAAATATATATCCTGTGTCCAATATAAAAGACTAGAAACTGTGACCAATCAAGTATCAACTTGCAAAGTTGATACTGATTCTTGCAATCAAATTTCAAGACTAAGGAGATTTTATTAAACTGTTTCCTATTGCATCTATGTGTCCCTTATTTCACCCTAAGAATTCAGTTTCTCATTGGCACAGGGAATGATAAATTAGAACATCCACTAATTACTCATTTCTTAAATTATTCTCAGAATAATATAAACACTACCTCCACTCTGATTACTGAAATTTAATAAAAATAGAAAAGCTTCCTTGAAACCTGGTCCTTTCTAAAAGCACAAGAAAACTAATTTCACAACAAAAATGTATCAAAAGAAAATAAACAACAGAAATATATCAAATTCAAATTCCATACAAAGTTATAATAAGGAGAATAAGGAACATAACTGTATAAATTGTGTAAGTTCACAAAAGATAAGTATGAAACCCAGCCTAATTTTAATGGGCCTTAATTTTTCCTAATGCAATGGAAAAGAAGGTGAGGATTCCAACTATCAACTTACTACACTGAAGTTATAAACCAATCATATTAGACTGGAAAATAAATTAGAGTATAGCAATTTTACAAGGGTTTGTTGAAAGTACTAATATTTATACAGAATCTATTTATTGATAAATTTAAGAAAACTAATTGGAAAAAAATCTATGAGTTAATTCTATGAGCAATAATAGAATTCAGTAAGGTAATTGGACATATATCTGTCAGGTAAAAGATGGCCAGGATCGTGACTAATTGGCCATGATCATGATGGCCATGGCCATGATTAATTAATAAACACGTTACCTTTTGCCAAAAAAACTTGAAAACTGAAAAAATAAATGTAATATAACTGTTTCTAGACACTGAGGAATCTGAGATCCTTAACATATGAGAGACAATGAAATGAACCATACAACATCAATCACTTTCTTAAAAGACTGTAGTGTGGGGAAGAAATATCAGTCTCATTTAGAAACTGAGAAGTTTACAGGGGTATTCCTTAAACAGAAAAAAAAAATACGATTTTAAGTTGAGGAAATAGCAAGAGTAAGGGGGGCAGAAATTTGCAAGACAAAGTATTAGAAAGAGTATAAGAAATTTGTGCAAGGTTACCTTTGAGTCTGGCTTATTACCAAGCAGCTCACATGCAGGATAAAACTCCATGAGTATTGGCAAAGAATACTTACCATAAGATATAAGTTAATAATTTTCAGAGCTCATGCAGAGCTGAGGGACATTCAATTTCTTAACATCCAAAATAGGAAAGCTTTAATGAACACCCTGGGAATTCATTATAAATTTAGGTGTCATCATACCTCAGTAATTAAGGCTAATATGCACCCATAATATCAAGCTTTTAAATAAAAGTCTTTAAAGACAAAGCTGATACTTAAATAACTGCTGATCAATGTTAACTCATCATCATTAATGAAGACCAACAAAATTCTGATATTTAACATCATAAAATTCAAATACCCAGCATCCAATAAATAATTATTGGACATCTGATGGATTGAGAAACTGTGCTGTCATCAGGGAGAAAACAAATATAAAAGCAGACCCAGATCACAGAGATGAATTTTCAGAAATAAACTTCAATATAGGTATTTAAAATATGTTCAAGAACATTAAAAAACATAATGAAGGTAAAATATTCAAATTATAAAAAATCAAATCTCTGGAGCTGAATTAACATTATTGGATAAGCTTAACAACAAATAAGGCATTGTGGCAAAAAAGATCGGCGAAAATTGTTGTGAAGACATAGCGATGAAAAATATCTGTGAAACAGAGAGAAAAGAGGCAAAAAACTGAATATTTCCTAAGTGACTAATGGGACAATATCAAGAGGTCAGACATACCTGTAATTTGAGTCTCTGAAGTTGTGAGAAAGGGAAACAAAAAATGGAGAGCTAGTACCTAAAAGTTTCCAATTTTGACAAAAATTATAAACCCACAAATCCAAAAGGCTCAACGAATCCCAAGTAAAATGAACACCTTTCATATCTTAATCAAGTCTTTAAAAACCAGAGATAAAGAAGAAATCTGAAAAGTGGTCACAGTCTTACATTAGGATGTAAGAACTCTTAAACGAATTAGCAGTGACTTCTTAACAGGAATAATGGAGGCCAGAAAACAAAAATACAACATCTTTAAAGTTGCTGAAGGAAGAAAAAACAACTGTCAACCTAGATTCTATCTTGTGAAAATATCCCTCAAACTGAGAAGGAAAAAAAAATTTAAGAGACATTTTCAGAATATCAAGAGCTGAGAAAATTCGTTTTCAGCAGACCTTCACGACAAATGTTAAAGGTGTTCAGGCTAAGGGACTTGTGTACTTCTGCACAAAGAAGTGAAGAGAACTGGAAATCATTAACTTGTAGGTAAATATAAAAGACTGTTCTCATTTAAAATATATATTTAAGAGATTATTGTGCCCAAGAATGCTGGCCACCATGCAGCATCCACCCTTTTCTTTCTCTCCTGCTTCCGACTGTTTGCATACAAAAAGAGTAAATCCACACATCTCATAGTTCTCTTTCAGATCTTTACACAGGCCTTTAATGTAATTTCCTTGTGTCCATATTTTCACAATATCTCTCTCCTTAGTTCTATGAGCTTGCACACAATTTCAACACATCTAATGAAAACACCAGTAAGTTTCTGTCTCTCCTCTGGATATAGTACTTCAAATATAGTCTCATTATAGTCATCAGTCAAGATGAATTTAAAAATGTGTTCAGGGGCACCAGGATAGCTCAGTTGGTCAAATGCCTGAATCTTGGTTTCGGCTCAGGTCATGATCTCACTGTTCGTGGGTTCAAGCCCCACGTCAGGCTCTGTGCTGACAGCGCAGAACCTGCTTGGGATTCTTTCTCTCTCCCTCTCTCTTTGCCCCACCCCTGCCCTCTCTCTCTCTCAAAATAAATCAATAAACTTTTTAAAAAATTATAAAAATATGTGCAAAGTAAAAGTTATCGAATCAGGAGGGTGTGTGTATAAATGTATACTAAATATTCTTTAATTTCAGTTCTGTAAATGTTTTGAGCTCCTAGGTGGCATCCCTGTCAACTATTTTCTTGAAATCAATAATTTGAAAAGACTAAAACTAAAACAGGTTTCTTATACATTTGTTAACTTCCTTTGTAGTAGACAAAATTTTAGAGGAATTAAAGCATCCACTACTGGAGATCAAAGACTTTTCGAAAGACTAAATCACGTGCTCCTGGTGATCAAAGGCTCCAATAATTCCAGATCTTTTTTTCCACTGACCTCTGGGGCTTTGCAAGAATAAATCACTTAATATCTATCATTCTTGGTTTCCTTTTCTACAAAATGTAAGCTATGGACTATATCAGTATTTCTTAGATATGTGGGTGTCTTAAAACAGTGGAATAAGTGGATGTTGAACCAACTTGGAGTTGTCATTTTTTTTTTAATAAGGATGTAAAATAAACACAAAACCTGCCATCTCTAGTTAAAATGTTTCATCAAAAAGAATTTTTTAACAATCAAAAAGGTAGAAGGGCAACTTCAAAATAAGTAAATCCTTCATATTAATATATATGTAGTTTAAGAAAAAATTTACATATTATCTTTTTATCCCCATTTTTACCATGGACTGCTTAAAAATTTCTTAAATGTCTAAAATCATTCCATGAAACTATGCTTAAAAATTATTGAATTAAATGCTTTCTACTGTCTCTTTCAACTATAAAACTCCATGATCTATATTCTTATTTTGATACAATATGTTAATCAAAGGTAATTTACATTACATAGCATTATGTCAAGTAAATGAAATTTACTTAACTCCTTGTAATTAAAATATGCAAAAAAAAAAAAAAAATTAAGAACAAGGGAAAATATCTCCTAATGTTTGATGTAGTACTTCACCACCCCATATCTGAATACACACTATACACATTTAAAGATGTTTTAAAAAGTTCCTGTGGGAAATGACAGTGTCATTTGGGCCGATTAAAGCATCATTCTGGTTGCACAAACTAGAAAGAGAAGTGCCACTGTGGTAATACTAGTCTTTATCTTCGGGACCAAGAGTCATTTTGCAAATTTGTAGTATCATTTCCCTAAACAACTCAGAACCAAATTGCACTTCAGTTCCTCAGTTCTACTTTTTTGTAGAGGCAGACACACAGCTCTGGACTCTTTTTTCGTTATTGTTTTTTTGGGGGTTTTCTTTGGCAGTGCTGACAGAGTTGAGATAACTTTTTATTGTACCATGTATAACTGTGAAATACCATTAACAAGTGAAAGATGTAATAAACTAGACATCTCTTCCTTTTAGAAAAAGAAGATGGAAACATCTTTGGTTTTCTTTTCTCAATTAAATATGTGTGAACCAAAGGAAAAAGCTTTTTTCAAGTTAATACATGGTTTAGGAAAAGAAGAAACCAGCAAAGAAGCCAAAATCAGGTAAAACCAGTTTTATACTTCTAAAAACATGATTGATGTTGAATATTTGTTAGCAGTTGTTTTTAAAATATCTGGTTGAAAATATATTGACTGTACTGTTAAAACTGGAGGAAAAAGGTCTCTTTGTTAGGCATAAACAACTGTCAAATCTAAAGTGTTTTTATTTTTTTTAATGCAACAATTTTAACCACACAAAAGAAGTAATAACAATCTTAATTAAAATATAGCCTCAAATACTTCCTAGTCACTGTGGGAAAAAACAAATATATTTCACATATGCTCTCCTAATTCCTCCACAAATTGAATGAAATTCATTAGGAAAACCATTTTGAGTGTGTGGAGAGTGGGTGGTGGATGAGAAGGGATGTTCAGGTGATTACCAATTCCAAATTTGTTCGACAGTCAGAAAGAAAGATTTTAATTGTCATCCAAATAGTCCTGAAGCTGGTGCGTTTTCATTTCAGAGCTAAGGAAAAAAGAAATAGGCTAAGTCTTCTTGTGCAGAAACTTGAGTTTCATGAAGAACCCCCCTCCAGCAGATCTGGGAACTTGGCCAAAGAAACAAGGTGAATAACTTTTAATTATTTCAGGGGAGATTTTGCTGATTCTAACATTAAAGGTTTAAGAAAGAGGAAATTAGGGATTTGCATTTTATTGGAAATTACACCGTAATATAAGGAAGGTTAGAGATCTCATTTCAAAAAAACTAGGAATATTCCATAAAACTAAACTATTTTAATAGCTCAAATTAAATAACCTTATAAAAATTTAAAGGTGCTCTTTTAAAATTTTATACCTGTCAATTTTAAATGATATATTTTACTCCTTATTAACTGATGAAATACTCATTAATTTAAGAGTTTTCACAATGTAATATTGTCATAGAGGAGAGCCATTCATCTCTTCCTTTAGTAGTTTGAAAAAAAAATTCCTCTAGGTATAAAAGAAAGAAAGCACAAAAAGGGATGTTTTGTCACTTTAGGCCATTTCTTCAATTCAAACAGAAAATGAAATAACCTTATCTACTAGTATAATACAGATTCTTCCAAAAATGAAATATGACCAATAAAAGATCCAAAACAAATATATTATACTCTGTAAATTATAACTCTAAAATACTTGTTGTATTGCAGCTTTTTAAATATATTTCTTATCCCTTTAGAACTTCATTAGCCAAACTTCCTGTATCTGTTTTTTTTTTTTTTAAATTGCTGCATATTGTGGTAAGAGCTTCAAGGAAATTGCAGTTAAAAAGTTTGACTAAAAGACACCGTCAGTTTATGTTCTTCTAATTGTTGAATTAAACTGGATATGCAGAAATGAATAAATTGTTTTCTTAAAAAAATAAAAAAGATAAGTGACCTGATTTCTTTTCCTTTGTTCTTAACCTAACACATGATTAATTTTAAATAAAATGATTTGTACACTCATGAGAAAATAATGAATGTTATTTTATTATATGTTAAACTTGACCAATGATTTTGAAGTTTCCAATGTAAAAACAACTTTCATTGAATAATAATAAAAGAAGAAACCCCATGAAATATGACTGAAAAGAGCAGTGTAATAGCATATGTTAGAGCAGATCCATAAACAGACTTTCTGCATACTCCATTATAAACATTTTGTTTCTTGAACAGAGTCTCCCCTGAAGAAGCAGTGATATGGGGTGAATCATTTGACAAACTGCTTTCCCATAAAGGTTAGTGGTATTTTCCCCAAATGCTTTACATCTTAATGGAAAACTGCACAACATATGCATGTAACTATACAAAACAGGCTGCAATAAAAATGTAGTCTGATTGGTAATTGACGGCAATCTGAGTTTCTGATCAAGAGAAATAACTAAAAGAATAGTCAACAAATGGAAAGTATTTCTTCAATATTCTAATTTTGCTGAGAAATACTTATTGTGGTTGAAATATTACCTCTTTGTGTCATGATTAACAGTTTCAAATTTTTCATTTATTGATTTTTTTAATGAGGTCTTTGGATTTTTTTATTTTTAATATTTATTTATTATTTATTTTGTGTGTGAGAGAGAGAGAGAGAGCAGGTGAGGGACAGAAAGAGAGAGGAAGAGAGAATCCTAAGCAGGCTCTGCACTGACAGTGCATAGCCTGATGCAGGGCTGGAACTCACAAACCATGAGATTGCGACCTGAGTTGAGATCAAGGGTCAGATGCTTAACTGACTGAGCCACCCAGGGACCCTAAGATCCTTTTTTTTCTTTATTAAAAATTTTTTTTAATGTTTATTTATTTTGAGAGAGAGAGAGAGACAGAGCATGAGTCGGGGAGGGGCAGAGAGACAGAGACACAGGATCCGAAGCAGGCTCAGGTCGCCAAGCTGTCAGCACAGAGTCCCACGCTTCAAGATCATGACCTGAACCAACATCAGTTGCTTAACCAACTGAGCCACCCAGGTTTCCCAATCCTTGTTTTTTTTTAAATACTTGATTATCCTATGTTACTTTTATTTTTAAGTGATCCAAAATGTAAAGAAATTCTTTTATTGGAAATTCAGGAAACCCTCATGAAAATACTTATTTTTCCAAATTTTGTAAATATTTCACTCTTTGTATCAATAATCTCTTATAATGAGTTTTGTAGGTGACATGGAAGGTGAGGACAAATATTGAGTCCTTGTTTGACTATTCAACACTATGATAAAGCATGAGTCAGAAGATAGGCTGCCTAGATTGTTACTCTTTAGTGTCAACTTACATAAAGCAGCAGGGATGTGAGCATTTTTTGTCTTTATTGAGTCCATGATTCCTTTCACGAAGCAAAATTGATAAGTTTAACTGAGTAAACGATGGGTCTGTGAACCACAGGGTTGATCATTTTCAGCAACCAAGCAGAGTTGTTTCAGAAACACTTTACCATTACACACTTCCTCAAGTGCACCACCTTTACTTGTATCTCAAAATTTCCCTGGTTCCTCACCTCATTCTTTGTCTAAAACACAAACCCTCCTTGCTCTTGCCCAGACCATTCCAAGATGAGGCTAGCTAAACTACTGTACTGTCACTCTACTGTTTATAGTATTGCTAGTGGAGTTCACATTCTAAGGTTTCTGTTGGAAAAAGAGGTTTCTGTTGCTAGGACAGCTAAGAGTGCACTACTTGTAATTTAGCCTCAAGTACTGTGCTCTGTTTGACGAAACACCAACTTTTCTTGTCTGTCTTCATTTTCTGTATTTTTCTCCTTCCTAGTTGTCCATCTCTGTAAGGTCTTGGTGTTCTGTTAATGCTTCCCTGAATTTACTGACACAAGAATTCTATTTCTGTACACCATCCCTGAATACTTTCCCTCTTCCAATGAAAATACATTCTACTTCTGAATTGTAATATGGACTGAGAGAAAGAAAAATATAGGTAGAAAAACCAAGGCTTACATTTAAGCAAGAATGTAATCAATGAAAATGACATAAGAAAGAAGTTGATGCTAAAAAAAAAGAAGTAACTTCTTACTCCTTTCTCCTTATTTCACCTTAATACTGTATCAGTCCATATTTTGGAGAAGAGTAATTTAAACATCTTTCCTCAACTGCTCACTTTTCTTCATCCCCGATATCCAATCATTTTTTAACTATTATTCCAATTCTTGCTCAATATATGTCAAATCTGTCTTGTTCTCACTAACTCCACTGTCTTGGTTCAGGAATTTGTCAGTTCTTAAGACGAATTACAACAATCTATATAAAACTTTCCTCCATCATTAATTCTGCTCCCCAAATTTCTTTCTTTTCTTATTTCTTAGTATTTCCAACATTTGAACACATCCCCCTTTATTCTCTTCACCAGTCACAGCAAGAGAAAAAAGGAATGGAATTCTTTCTTTCTCTTTCTTTCTTTCTTTCTTTCTTTCTTTCTTTCTTTCTTTTTCTTTCTTTCTGGAATTTGATAGTTTATTACAAGGAAGCATTTCATCTGTGGAGGCTCAGCCCAGTCCATCACCTGATAAATATTAAGTTCTTAAATAATATAACCAAATTTGTTGCGAAGAAAATGTTAGCCCACGTTTCCTTTGACATTTGAGTTCTGGTTCTCTTCAGCTACATAATGATTGCGTAATCTTAGTTAAGCTTCCTAATGTCTCTGACTTTCAGCTTCTTCAACTGTAAATGGAGATAACAGTGTCTTTAACTCCAATAGGAATGGGTTTCTCTCAGGATTAAATGAGATGATGAATACGAAACCAGTAACTGACACTCCATAAATGTGAATTATTACTGCTATTATGAAAAAATTAGAATTATCAACAATGAATTTAATAATCTTTTTCTATTTTCCAGTTCATTCCCAACAGGGTTAAATTTCAATTAAAAGAAATATATAAGCTGTATTTATTTATTGAACTTAATAAATTGGTACATAATAATTTCATCATATTCTCACGACTCAGAGAGAAGAAAGATTTAGCAAGGCTAATTAGTCCTACAGAAAATTCTCCCCTGGCATTCTGTAATCATTTTGCTTTGCAAGTAGTCAAACCTGAATGGAAAAAATTGAATCTGCTGCTGTCTCTCTTTTCTCTGCTGGTGGAAATATTAAAGAGCTGTAAAATAGCAATTTGAATCAAGAGAGTTCAACATGATAACAAAAGTCAGCACTGACCCACTTGGACATTATTATCATTGTTCATGATCAAAGTGCTAATTAAATTATATGGCATTCACAAAAAAATTATGTTACTAGTATTCGTTTAATCAATCCCTCAAAATCCAATTATTTTTAATTGCAAAGCTTATCATAATATTAAATAATAAAGCTTAAAATAATCAGCTAAAAAGGTCTTTTTGGTTACAATGGTTAAATTCAGCTCAATTCTACTGACTTGACTCCAGACCAAAAAAAAAAAGGAAAGATCTTACTCATTAGTACCCTCCCCCCCACACACACACATATGCACACACTTAAAGAAAGATCTTACTCTATCAAATTTTATGTAATTCTCCTTTGGTTAAATGAGTAAGTTTCTCAAATTCTATATGTCATGTCTATATAAAGGAAATAGAGATTGTATTAAATTTAGGCAAATAGGAAATGTAGTGATACATAATAAAATGTAAAATCAAAATACGATGGAAATTTGAGTATTTAGTTTGACAAAAATGGCTGATATTTAAAGCACTGTATGCTGATTATTAGTATCTTTAGAAATGGAGCCACAGAGTAGATGGTTCTTACGCTAGATTTTAGGGGATTAATCAAAATTCACCAGCTGGACAAGAAGAGAGAACACCCAAGTGGAGAGTCATCATAGGCGTGGGGCATTAACCAGTTTAACTTAGGGAATTAAAAAGAAAGTAATTCTTTGTTGAGAAACATAATTTGAAAAAGGAAGCATGGCTTAGAGTGACACACAATAGACAGATAAGACTAAAACAGAAAAAGCATGATTTTTACTATATCTTCCATGGAAGCGACAGAATTCATGGAGTATTTAATAATTCCACTATTTTATCCAAATTTCATTCTTCAAATGTAGTTTTACTCTTTTAAAAAAACAGAAGATAAAATACAATTAAATCTAAACAAAGTATGGACTTTAGTTAGTAAAAAGTTTCAGTTTTTGTTTATTATCATATATGTACCTTACCAATGTAAGATGTCAATAATAAGAGGGAACTGGTTGTGGGATATAAGGAAACTGCACTATCTTCATAACTTTTCTGTAAATTCAAATCTATTCTAAAATAAAATATTCCTCATTTGTTTCTATACAGATATTAGGATACATTTTTTCCACCATCCCCTTTTATTGACAAATTTGTCTGGAATTGTGAAATGAATCATAAAAGTCTATAATTTAACTATACATATAAAAATCAGTAATTTTTTTTAATGTTTTTAATGTTTATTTATTTTTGAGAGAGAAAGAGAGAGAGAGAGACAGAACACAGCAAGAGAGGGGCAGAGAGAGAGGAAGACACAGAATCCAAAGCAGGCTTCAGGCTCTGAGCTGTCAGCACAGAGCCTTGATGTGGGGCTCGAACTCATGAATGGTGAGATCATGACATAAGCCAAAGTTGGACACCCAAATGACTGAGCCACCCAGGTGGCCCTCCAAAAATCAATAATTTCCAAATGCTATTTAATAGAAATAAAATTTATGAATAAATCAAAAACCAATGTCAGATGATATCTAATTCATAATCACCAATTTCATATTTAGTTATCAGTCTCCTCATTCACTGATTGACTTTATAAAAGTAAATGCTATTAATATGAAGTTAGCAAACCAATTAATACCAATAAAGTTATATATATACATATATATTATACTTACATATATATGTATGTGTTTGTATGTATATAGGTATGTTCCATGTAAGACATCTTTGAAAATAAAATCATGATGTTGATCAATATATGTTTGAAAATTCTTAGCTAATTTTATAAATGTTATATAACTTGCAATGTATCATGGAGCCTTTCAAAAAATTTTTAAAGACATTGGATAAATGGGTACAAGGTTTCAACAGGCAGAAGAAAAAATAATTCCTGAGCTGAGAAAAAAAGGCAGGAAAAGTGCTGGAGATTTTGTTGTAACTTGGAAAAGCAACCAGTTATCTTTCACTGAGGCAGAGTACTAAAAAAACACATTGGAAAATCAAGTTGGGGACAAATTTTGGAAGAGTTTGTAAGAAAACTCTGATGGACAGAAAAGTAGAATTCTATACATGTAATATGGA